AGAGCAGCAGCAGCAGCAGCTGGTGGTGGGACATGTATTCATGAGATCATTTCAGCCGAGCACAGACAGAGTCAGTGATTGGTTTTCTCTAGAAACACAGCAGCTTTTCCTATAGTTACAAACACACACACAAAACAACAACAACAACAACAACAACAACAACAACAACAACAACTGCTCTCTTAGCCTCAGAGCTGAGCTTTTAAATCACTGCCAAAAGGATGATGTTTGTTGAAAAGTACCGACATCCATCCACCTAAATATAAGTTTGTTTTTTATTATTATTTATTTTATGGTGTGTTTATGTGCAAAAATACAAAAATACTAGATAAAGATAAAATCAAATCTGTGTTTTTTCCCAGCATCCCCTGTATTTCTCATGGTGAAAGTTCACAGTAAAAAGAATAATTTTTTATTACTTTTGTTTTCGCCCGGCAACAGCAACAGCTCACAACCTCTAGTCCAGAAGAACCAACAAGTTCTTCCCAAAACTTTTCATTCCTGGGAATGCTCCACATTGATCCGCAAAGAGAAATTGTTAACCACGGCGTTTACTCACCTGTTTACTCCCCGCAGTCGATCAGTGACTAAAGGGTTAAAGAACTGCTGTCCTACCTTTACATGCTGCAGTCCTCCCACTGTCCTCTGTGTCCCACTTCAACTGTGTCCCCGTGTCCTGATTGTTGTCGTTCAACAGTAATGTTCCTCTGGCATTGAGAGGAATCTTAAAAAAAAAAAAAAAAAGTCAGTTTGATAAAAAAAAAAAAAGATTTGAGTTGATTAGAAATGATTCTTTGTTGTTAACCCACAGCCTTGATTCTTCATATATAGAATTTTCATATAAATCATTTCAACATTTCTGGAGAAAGTGAAGAGCCAATGAAAGCACTTCACTCGTTCGATCTTTCCTATTTTTACTTCACTCAAGGCGGTTCCTTATCTTATCTGAGGAATTTCTTTGAGAGGACAGAAGTGATGGAGACACAGAAAAAAAAAACTTAGGTCAAAGAAGAGGACAAACGGGTCATCCAGTTAATGTTGTTCTTTTGTTACAGCAGGCCTGCTGTTTTCTTTAAAAAAAAATAAAAAAAATTACAAAAAACAGCCACGCCCCCATATGATCACATTACTAAAACCAAGGAGAAAAAAAAATAACACAGATGAAAAAAATAACAAGAGAAAAATACAACAATCTTCAGAGATTTTCTGCAGTTTTCTTATACTATTAAACACACAATTCACCTTTAAGCAACATTAGAATCTTTTTTTTTTTTTTGCCGGCACTCACTCACTTTCTGACCCCTGTAGCCCAGGAGCTGCTCAGTCCTGTTCTGCACTTTGGACAAAATCTTCATGGTGCATCTCCTGTTGTTGTTGTTTTAAATTATTTTTCTAAAATTCTAAACTCAGTCCTTTTCGATGCCTGATGCTTCAAATGCAGTTTAAATTAACAAATATAAAAAGTCAGAGTTCCCAGGAGTGTTGTTGCTCCGCTGCTTCATGCCCCACTGAGAGACACCAGTGGGGTCATTTTACACTCAGCCCTGGACCCTTTCTAACCTCTGGGCAGAGGAGGACAGCTGGACAATTGCAGTGTCGTCTGTCTCGGGGCCTGTCAGTGATGGACAGGTCCAGTCACGCCCAGGGTTATTTCAGCCTGTGACTATTCCCAAAAAAGGAAGTGACAACCAGCCATTATCACTGGGTTCACTCGGATTTAGAGACACTTTTAAAGACATCTTAATACAGTTGGTGAGTTTGAGCTCCACGGGAGGAACTCATCTTTCAAAAGGCTGAGATGAGAGACACTGAAAAAAACAAACAAAAAAAAACAAAAACGAGAGAGATCCCCCTCTTGTGGTATATCTGAGAAATGCACTTGATTAAAGCGCTGTCGTCTTAATTGAGTCTGTTATATTTTTGGCTTGTTTTTAAGTCTGGAAAATTAAAAAGTTCTGAGATAGATATTATAATTTTTAATGTGTTTTATATATATATAAAATTAAGCTGTGTTACATTTAATTTTATTTTATTTTTTTAATTCCCTCAGATGAACAATTTTTAAAATTTTTATTCAAACTTGAGTAGAAAACCAGTAAAAAAAAAAGCTTTGAAACAGGTTTTCATCAGACTTTTGTTTCTGCCCAAAACTAAAAAAAATCTGAAAATAATTAATTTGTCTTAGAACCTTTTGACTCACTCTGTTTGGGTCTATGTGAGTTTACCACGTACTTTTGTACATACTTTAGGATAATAATCCTGAGTACTTTATTTTAATGCGATAGATTTGTTGTTTTAACCCTTACTGCTGCTTAAATAAACCCCCAACATGGCTGGGGCTGATCCTCTTCATAAAGCTGTTGTAAGTGGGATGAGCTGAGCTCCTTTTTGTGGTGTGTAACAAACTAACGTGTTGTGGCGCTGGAGGCATTCTTTCAAAAAAGCAACGATGGAAATGACTTCAAGTAACTGTTTGAATATCCCTGTGTAAATATTTGATTATAAAATCAGACACAGATTTGGCCGTTTGAATTCAGTCCTACTAAAAAGGTTTTCAAAATTCTAAAAAAAAAAAATGTAATGAAAAAATGTACAAGGACAGATCTGGACTGCAGGCAGGTCAGACAATCACAACATTCCACGCCTAAAAATCCATTCAGCCAAGTCAAGCCTTATATTGAAAATTATAAGAATAAAAAAAAAGTTATTGCTGCATCAGTAACAGTATTTATAAAAACTCCAGCATGGAGCCTTACAGCTCTGATTAAAAATTATAAGAATAAAAAAAAAGCAATAAGTTATTGCTGCATCAGTAGCAGTATTTATAAAAACTCCAGTATGGAGCCTTACAGCTCTCTAAATCTGTTTCTAAAATTAAGGGCTCTGTGTCCACATGTGGCGGAGGTTATTCTGAGGTTGGCTTTAAGATGCTGATCCATTTATTGAAAAGTGACGACGCAGTGAGCTGACACAGCCACGCGACACACACACTCACTCTTCCCATGTCAGTGTGTCAAACTGTTAACGTATGATCAGTCACTGCAGCTGATCTGAAGAACGACACACACTGATGGAGTAAGGAGAGACTTTCAGAATGACATTAAATGAAACTGTGAGGAGCTTTAAACAGAGGAGACATTCATTCAGGCTGAGTCTTAATCTCTAGAGACTAGATTCTTTTCTTTTTTAATCTTTTCTCAGATGTAGACAACAGGACAGAGCATTACCTTAGCTGTTTTCCCCACGGTCAGATGGCCTCCGCAGCAGACGACCGATACCTGGGCTCAGGGCCCAGTGGAGACGGAATTCATCCGGCAGGCGATGAGTCTGAGTCTGAGTCTGACTCTGACTCTGACAGCATCCTCTCTGACGACTCCGTGCTTCCAGTCTACACACCAGAGACGAAAGACAGGTGTGCAGCAGGTTCCACTCTGTATTCAGCCTGTGCTCGTAACGAAGTCTTCTCTTTACGGAGGGTTCTGGAGAGAGGGGTGACAAAGGAGGAGGTCATGGAGCTGGACATCAACGGCTGGGTGAGTGATCACCACTAAATACAGAAATAAATAAATACAGAAATAATAATTGTAATTTCAAACAGAATGGCCTGATGGTGGCGTGCTGCAAAGGTTTTGTGGAAGTTGTTTACGGGCTCCACAGTTGTCCTTTCATCGACATAAACCACCAGGACAACGAAGGCAACACTGCTCTGATGATCGCAGCCCAAGCAGGTGAGGACAAATAAAAGTTATTTTTGATCAGGCAAAAACAAAGACTAAAAAAACCAACATAGAAAAAAAAATCAACATGGAAATGTATGTAGGATGTTGTTACTGACACATCAACTGATATATTTCCTTTTTTAATTAAGCAAAAGATATGAAAGAAATGTCGTCAGCAATAATGGATACTAAATTTAAAAATTCAAAATTCTTTAGTTAATTATTAATTTTATAACTAAATCAAACTGTTGACTTCTGTCTCCTTGTCTCCAGGTCACGTCAACACAGTCATGTATCTCATAAACTACTTCCCTGGTATAGACCTGGAGGTGAAGGACTGTCGTGGTTTCACTGCCCTCATCAAAGCAGCCATGACTGGACGCAGCGACGTGGTGTCTGCCCTTGTTATGGCCGGTACGTAACACACACGGAGGTGAAGTGTGCAGCACGTTCCTACGAACATGATGAAAGATTGTTAGATTAAAAGAATCCATGGTTCAAATAGTTCTACCTGAAAACAGAGTGGTTTGATTTTTTTATTCTCATTGCAGGTGGTTGTGATTTGTTTATATTATATTAGAACATTATACTTTTAAAAAATATTATTATAATAAATTATATTAAAATAATATACTCTTTTATGTTAAAACATTTTGCCGAACAAGGGACCTGTGACAACTGGCACTGCTTCATCCACTTCTGTGCTGTACTATTATAAGAAAAAGCCTGGACTCACTGTGACTCTGAACAGTTCCAGCAGTGGAGGTGGTGAGAATAGATAAGGCTCCATGCTTTATCTGTCCATATCTGAAGACAGCTTACTCCGTTCTCACAGTGATGTCACAGCAGACACGTCTTAACACCGCCTCCACTAATCCTTGTCTTACCGGCCTTTTTTTAGCTGGTGTAGATATACCACGTACAGAGCTTTTCACTCTTTTCTTTTTTTAGAAACAACAATTTTCTTTTTTTTTTTTTCAATCTCTCCAAGTCATCATTTACAGGTTAATACTAGGGATGTCCGATAATCTCGCCCCACCGATAATTTATCAATGCTAAACAGGCCTCAAGTCACTAGATGGCAGTGTTGCAGCTCATGGTGCTAGGAACTCATACAGTGGTTTCTACAGAGAAATATTACCAGGCTCAACAGTATTTCAATTTGGAGGGGGGCTTCTGCCCCCTATGGGGGGTCATGGCTTTAACTCATCACCTTAGAGAGCATGTGGCACTTAACTTCCTTAACCAACAGGCCACCACTGCCCCGCCATATCAGAATCACTTAATATCGGAATCAAATAAGCACCTGCACAATACTTAGGAAGAGATAGTCATTGGTCATTTAAAAAAATATTACTGACTACTTTTTTTCCCCTGTATTTTGTTTCCCAGGTGCTGACACCCAAGCAGTGGACTCCACGAAGAGAAAATGTGCTCAGGAATGGGCACTGAAAACCGGCCGCTATGAAACCTCCAATCGCATGCGTCGCCTGAATATGCGGCGAAGAGCAGAACAGTTTTGTGACAGCTTCATCCCCGAGTGGCCTGAGCTCAAAGACAGAGTAGCCGCGGCCGCAGCTGAGAAAAGTGCCAGGGAGAAAATTAGGGAGCTGATAAAAAACACATTTGGTTTCAGGTTTCCTCGTGACCCAGAGGACAATGGGGTCATGGACCACATGGTACGCATCACAACAAGTCTACACAGTCCACTCATTTCAACAGGATGTCACCCACTCTGTCCAAGCAGTCCTCCTGAGGTAGGAAAGAGGAGGCTGGCTGTTCCAGAGCTGCTGGGGAAACACTCTAAGACGGAGCTGGAAGAGAAGTCTGTCAGTCACAGCACCGCTTCTGCTCCACACATGATACCCACGATGCATTCTGCAGAGACCATCGCCACTTCGTGCTGTGCTGACGCTGAGAGGCGTGGCAGCATCCTGTCATTAGCCTCCAGTAAAGTGGCCAGTGCATTTATTCCTCGCAGCATGGCAAGAAAGAACAGTGTGTTTCCCTCAGGCTGCATCCCTCAGGTCAGCATCTGTAGGCCCACGGAGGCCACGCCAAAGAAGGAGAAGAAGAAGAAGATGATGAAGATGGACAAGAGCAAGAAGGAGAAGAAGAAGAAGATGAAGATGGACAAGAGTTTCCTGGAACCACCCAAATGGAAATACAAGGAAAGAAAAGATGAGAAGAAGAAAAGTGAAAGAGAAAAGGCCGATAAAGATAAAAAGGAGAAAAACGACAGTCAAAGAAAATAGTAGAAAAAAAAAATCAAGACTTTGGCAAATTAACTCTTCCTCTTTGGTATAAAAATGGTTGATTTTGAAAGCGATATGTTAAATAAAATACATACAACTCAGGGATTAACTAAGGTAGAATTCTTGAGCAGATTCTGCACCTGTCCTGGATTAAGACCTGTATTTTTGGTCTTCATTGTTTTGAGACAAATAATGTCCACAGAGCAAAAGGGTGGTAAATTCTCTTGCCTTACATCGAGAAGATAACCGGTTTGAAGCCCTGTGGCTACCCAGGAGGTTCTGTTATTGTACATACTGGAATACTGCCAATTCCATAGAAATACTAGTACTAGTACAAACACAGGTATTGTATGGTGAGTAATAACATAAGCTACCAATAAATATATATATTTTTTTTTAATTATCCGTTTATTTGTTTTGTCTTCTACTTAAATAAAGACACGTGTCACTGATGCTAAGATATTACGATAACTGAGGGCTAGCATGTGTCGTCATCCATCTTGTGAGGAATAATAAATGGTTTAAATTTGTGGAGTTTACACGTTCTCCCTGTGTCTACACATGTTTTCTCCATGTACTGCTGCTTTACCACAGTCATATAACATGAAGAATTAGTTTTATTGCACACTGGTAATTAACCGTGGTCGTTTATTTTTTTATATGTAGCTCCGGGATGTTCTGGTTGCGACTTGTCTAGCGGTTTTAGATTTATTATATTTTTAGATAATATTTTTGTAGAAAGAGAGGAGGCAGGGAACTGAGAGAGTCTAAAATGTATGTAGTTATACGGTTGTGTTTTTATCGCAGTTATTACAGTAGATAAATAGTTACACTCTGTGACTTACTTACCCCGTCCTGCTTGTGCGTGTCCCCTGTGAACTGCTGTTCTGTGCCTCACCTCTGGAATCTCCCCCCCTCTGCCTCAGTGTGTGTGTGTGGGTGTGTGTGGGTGTGTGTACTGCAGCCTGCTGGAGGATCATGTTAGTAGCCTGACAGGCTGCCGTAACTGTCATCCCTACCGTCTCACTTCACTGCATCTACAACCCGCAAACCAAAACTCCTACAAATGCGATGAACCGGGACTTCATAGACCATGGCTAACCTTCGAATATCGTTGGCCGTGGTGTTGTTTCAGGCTGTTCTGTACCGAAGCTCCGATGGTGAGTCAGTCATTCGTTCTGTTTGTTGTTTTGTGTGTGTGTGTGTATGTGTGTATGTGTGTGTTGAAGCAGCTCAGGGCCGCCGCCGCCGTCAATGTTAATGTAGCGCTAATGTGGAGCTAACGGCTAAGCTAAAAGAGCAGACCCAAACAATAACATTAGCGGTGCCGCCGGTATTAAAGCCAAGCAAATTTTCTTTAAATAAAGGGGTGGGGAAACAAAAATGCCCGCTTTTTCATTTCATGTCATTCAGACAGACAGCGTGTAATGAAAACTAACCCACCGTGTTGTTGTAACTGTCGAGCCGACCAAGCTAACCTTAAACACGGCGTGTGTTTATGTAGCGCGTACTGTCAGGTGTGGCGGAGGGTTTACATAAACCACCGTGTTTGGGTCTTTTCAGTTAATCGGAAGTTTTAGGACATTTTTTGGTTATAACGTGTCCCGAAGGTGTGGTATTTGGAGTTATGAGAGTCCCGAGTGCTGTTGTTCAGCCACTATACTGCATATATATACACAAACAAACACGCAGACGCGTGCTGTTGTTCAGCCACTATACTGCACACGGAATATATACACAAACAAACACGCAGACACACACTGTATGCCATCATTGATCTCGGATGGGATTTTCCCAACATAATTTAAACAAAAGCTCCAGATAAAACGGTTTACGGTTTTCCCAACATAATTTAAACAAAAGCTCCAGGTAAAATAGGTTAACGGTTCTTTTCCTGTTTTTTTTTTTAATTACTTATTTTTACAAATGATCAGATTTCTTCAAGTTGTAAAGGTTTACCAGTGAGGAGGAGATCTGTCAGTTGGACTAGTTACACTTGACAGATGACAATAATTTCGTACTGAGTCATGTTGGTGAAAGTCGTTAGCATGAACGCTACTCCAAATCATACTATATGTTGAAGTCATTAAACTCAACAACGTACATTATTTAGTGACTGTTGATGGATTAGGATAGCGCCTAATAAGAGTTTTGTAAAATAATTAAAACAAACAGTTATTTGAGGTCCACAGTCACACTGTTCCACAGGCACTCAGTAGAAATGATGCTGCAAATTTAACAGTATATATATTATATATTAGTCAGTTTGAGCGGTGATCCTCGGTTTAGATGGCAAATGTTGTGCCTCTACATTATACTTAGAGGTGGGATATAATTGTATTTATATAAAATAGTTCAACATTCACACTGTTGTCAACACTAACTGCACGTAAAGGTGGTGGTGGTGGTGGTGGGGGCAGCTACGTGCACCAAACAGAGTGAAATAAGGCTTTAATTGGGCTGGAACAATTAGTTGATCAATTTGACTAGCTAGAAAAAGGTCCTGTGAGTTCACCTTGTTGTGGTTGTGCCGCTTTTGTGATAGTAAATTAAAGGTCAGTGGTTTGTGAATAAAAGAACTTCCAAATTACTTGTCGACTTCAAAGGAAAAGCTGCGTAGCTGTAGCGGTATCGTGTACATATATAAAATGTCAGCGCCTAGCAAATTAGCAAAAGAACAGTATCAAAGCAGACGATCGACTCTCCTCTGCCAATGAACCATTAACCTTGTCAACTATGGTAATTGTCTGGTCTATAAAAGTCATGCAACCTCTTAAATGTCTTAAACCAAATGCAATGGAAGTCGATAATTTCCCTTGTAAAATTTAGAAGTCCAAATACTCAGTCTCAGAGTAAGGTAAACATGCACTTTCTTCCTTGATAAATAAATCCGTTTAAAGTCAACAGTCACAATGACGCCAATTAAAATTTACGACCTTTTGTTTTGACATTATGACTGCAAACTACGCCAGTTGTCGTAAACCTTGTCCCCACTGCTGCATTCCTGTGGTGATCCAGCTAGGTTATTTTAATTGCCCCTTAGCATGGCAGGAGTGTAGCAGGCATGTGCACATGTTGTCTGGAAACTTTTATCTCATTAGAAAAACAAAACCAAACATGGAGACAATCTGTGGCATTTGCAACTGTGGATGGAAAGTATGAAATGTCAACTCAACAATTACTCATCGTCTTTGTTTCTCAAATTCTTTTTTAACCTTGTTTTGGTCGCTCATCATGACCACCAGCATCTGCCAAGTAGGTGTTGGCATTGTGTGACTCAGTACCACAGAACATGTTGTAACACATGAACTCCTATTGTGATGCAGAGGGCGAGGGAGTTCGTCTTTCTGCATGTGTCTTTGGCTGCAGCGACATTCCACGCACGTATTGGTTCTCTACCGAGAGTCTTAGAATTAATTACTAGAAGTAACATCATGTTCTCATATAATGTTGTTGTTCTAGAGTACACAGACAAGTCTGGGGCTAATTATTTCTCCTGTGTGATCTTACAAGACTGTATTTTCATTTCTTCTCGTAAATCTTTTATGAGTCTGTCTGTTTGGGATATTTGTCTGTCACTCGCGTCAAATTTAGATGATGTTTACTATATGGTCCTGCATAACTAAGAACACAGTTCCTCTAATGATAGTGTTTTGTGACAGTAAATTCACAGCCTGTACCACAGTGTCGAAGATCAAAAGCCCGTCACATTTAACAGCGGTCTCCCTGTTTTCACAGCACTTTGGTGTAACTGCACCACTGCCGAATGTGAGAAGACTGGATCGCTGTGTGAGACCGACGGAGCCTGCATGGCCTCCACCTCCGTCTTCGAAGGCCAGGAGCAGCACATCCGCACCTGTCTCAACCAGGACAAGCTGGTGCCTCCTGGACAGCCGTTCTACTGCCGCGGGGCAGAGGGCTACGTCAACACTCACTGCTGCTACACTGACTTCTGCAACAGCATTGACCTCAAGGTTCCCACAGGTCAGAGCACGCAAACTAGCACCAAAGGTTTACTACGTAAAGGTTCCCACAGGTCAGAGCACGCAAACTAACACCAAAGGTTTACTACGTAAAGCAGAAGCAAATTTGAATTAGATTTATTATGAAAAATAACAAATTAGACCCAAGAAATTACTCAGTGAAAAGCATAAAAAATTAAGGTTAATGCAAATGCTAAAGTAGGGCAAATTTTTAAGCATTTCATTTTGATTTCCAGGAACCACTTCACCTGGGCATGATGGGGGCTACGGCCCAGGTGGGACATGGGGACTCATTCAACTGGTGGCTGTAGTTGCGGGGCCACTCTTCCTGCTGTGTCTGCTGCTGTTGCTGGGCATGTTCCTGTATCAGTACCACCAGAGGGCGTACAACCACAGACAGAGGCTGGAGGTCGAGGACCCTTCGTGCGATCACCTTTACCTGGCCAAAGACAGGACCCTGCAGGACCTCATTTACGACCTGTCCACATCTGGTTCAGGCTCAGGTAGGCTAACAACGGGAGAATAAATGTCTTAGTCAGGCCTTTGTCCACCTGGTGTGGTCATCGTCATCTCTGTGCAGGTCTTCCTCTCTTCGTCCAACGCACCGTGGCCAGAACTATCGTCCTGCAGGAGATTATTGGTAAGGGCCGATTTGGGGAGGTGTGGCGTGGAAGATGGCGTGGGGGTGATGTTGCCGTGAAGATCTTCTCATCCAGAGAGGAGCGATCCTGGTTCCGTGAAGCTGAGATTTACCAGACCATCATGCTCCGCCATGAGAACATCTTGGGCTTCATAGCTGCTGACAACAAAGGTGGGTCCATGCAACACAACCACAGCCTGGGGTGTTTTACGGTCGGTTCTTGTCCTTCTCAAACCTCGGTGTGTTTTCAATGTTCCCGTCACAGATAACGGAACTTGGACACAGCTGTGGTTGGTGTCAGACTACCATGAGCATGGCTCTCTGTGTGACTCTCTGCACCGCTACTCCGTGACTACTGAAGGAATGATCAAACTGGCTCTGTCCGCTGCCAGCGGCCTTGCACATCTGCACATGGAAATACTTGGAACACAAGGTGAGCTTCGTGGAAGTCAAATCAACATGTAGTGTGCCTTCCTCACCAGCAGGGGGGTATAACTACAGTTGAGACATGCTTGTGTGTCTCCTCAGGAAAGCCAGGCATCGCCCACAGAGATCTCAAGTCCAAGAACATCCTGGTGAAGAAGAACTGCACCTGTGCTATTGCAGACCTGGGATTGGCTGTACGACATGACTCCGCCACTGACACCATCGACATCGCACCCAATCAGAGGGTGGGCACCAAGAGGTCTGTGTCCACTTATTATGTGTCAACATAAAACAACAATTCTCTGGGAAAAAGACACAAAAATCCATTGACTTTTTAAGCATCTTCAGTCTGGATTATATTGTTTTTGTTGTACTATTTACTGTGGCAAAACTTGGCTACATATTAAAAAAAAACTAAATTTTTCCAAAGGTTTAACTGTCATAACAAAACCCCTCGTTATAAAACATCTTGTTAGTTCACATCAGTCCAACGTGATTCTTCTCACGTCTGACAGGTACATGGCTCCAGAGGTTTTGGATGAAACTATCAACACACGACACTTTGATTCCTTCAAATGCGCCGACATCTACGCCCTGGGCCTGGTCTACTGGGAGATTGCTCGCCGTTTTAACAGTGGAGGTCAGCGTTCTGAGCTCATTGTTTGGATGATCCATCTGTGCTGTTCTAGTCTCTGACCCCAACACTGCCCTGTGTTATCAGGTGTCCACGAGGAGTACCAGCTGCCCTACTTTGATCTGGTTCCTTCTGATCCTTCCATCGAGGAAATGAGGAAAGTGGTGTGTGACCAAAAGCTACGACCCAACATCGCCAACTGGTGGCAAAGCTACGAGGTAGGAGCGCTGCGTTTACATGTTCATGCATCCTGGTTCTTCTTCTTCTTCTATTGTCTTCGTGACAGGCAAACTTAAGGTGCGTTACCACCACCAGTATGTTAGGTGTTAGGTGTTAGGAACCTGAGAAGGGTGCAATCAAATGTGATCATTTTTTAATGATTAATTAATTAATTACTATATATTTCAAACTTAACATGAAACACTTAATGACTTTAAGTCCCAGCTCTAACATTAACCAGTTATAAAACCAATGTAGTGACGCTGACGTTGACCTGACAGGCTACAATAATACTGCTCAATGTAGTTGCAGTTGGTGGCGGTATCAACCCAGCTTTTCACTTGCCAAGGTCTCCTAACCTGAGTTGTAGGTCTATCACTCACTGTCTGTCAGCGCCAGTTTATAATCACTGTCTAACTTTGTTCTTTTTTTCTTTGTTGTGGCGTCAGGCCCTGAGGGTGATGGGTAAAATCATGAGGGAATGTTGGTATGCTAACGGAGCTGCACGCCTGACAGCGCTGCGAGTCAAAAAGACTCTTTCGCAGCTCAGCGTTCAGGAGGACATTAAAGTCTGAGTGAAGAAGGAAGGAAGGAGCGCTGAGCCGGACCTGGACCGTAGGACAGTGAGCGGAACTGTTGGAGCGGTTCTGCAGAGAATGCACAAAAGTAGGAGAATACGATGAAGAGTGGCACTTTGTAAAAAAAATATTAGCCCATAAGACACTCCTGCCAGTTTTTAAAGCCACTTGATTTTTGTGACAAACCCTACCTCGCTTACCCAGCAAAACTACCAAGAACACCCGTGTTCCTGTGTTGTCCTCAGCTACGGCTGCCCTACCTGAAACCTCTTCTGTTCCACTTTCCACTCCAGTAACGATCCCTGGGTTTTCTCTGTAAATTATTGCGATCCACTTGTGGTGATTTTTACAAATCAGCTGCTGGTGGTTCTGATTTTTGATTTTTTTTTTTTTCTTTCTTTGAACCATTCTGCTCGATAGTTAATGATTAGCATTTGTTCTTCTTGTGTTGGAGGGTTTCAGGGTGTGTTTTTAATTTATTTTTTTATTTAAAATGACCAGAGATAATATATGGGATTTGAGAGGCTACTGTGTAGGACGTGCTTTGCCACAGATGTCTCACACAGCCCGGTGGTAAAGTAGGATACGCTGTATTTTTACAGGCAGAGAGAGAATGAGCTGCTGTTCCCGCTGCGACCTCCAGGTGAAGCAGGTCAGCAGCAGGTTCTGATGCAGTGTACAGGATCAGCAAGTGCTTGCACAGTTTAAAGTCACTGGAACTTCTGAGTAAGAGGACTTGTCCATAATCTGTTGTGAACCTCAGGTTTTTCTCCACACTCACCGATCGACACGCTTCTGTTTGTTGTTGAAACACGTTCGCAGCAGTTGCCAGAGCTTCGACGCTGCAGCCGTCTAATCCCTCAGTGTATCAGCGTGTCAGTGTGACATATGTTCCTGGAAAACACTAATCGCAGCATGCTGCAGGTTTCTCACTACTACACGTCCTTAACGTGAAGCAGAACCTGTTCTGAGTGTACACACTGACTGCAGTCCCTCACGTACGCTGATAAAAACACTGATAAACCTTCGCAGCAGCCAATACTGTCTACACTGTACATCCAATGCAATGACTCCAGGACTATGAATTATAGTTAAAACGGTTCTTTTTTTTTTTTTTGTGTTAATGTTTTATATAATAATGTCAGATGATGTCCAGTGTTATTTTTTTGCCCTGGCCAAGTACCACTACTGCACTTACACTGGCTTTGTTCAGGGGATGCTCGTGTGTATGTTTGACACTTGTGGCATGTTTTACAAGGTAACTTCTTTATACCAGCCGTTAGGTAAGTTGGCAGAGAAATCAAGTACTATTTGAATATCATAGTGCAGTGTTTACGCTTTTAAATAAAGCAGCAGCGGCCCGCCATTTCATCATCGCCACCACCGCTTTAGAATTGGGACAGATGAACCGTAGTCTTCCTGTTGTTGTACCTTCAATGAACAACAACCCCAAAGTGCGTGGCATTCGGTTATCGATTAACAATGTCTGAGGTTATTATAGCCCGTTGGTTTAACCCCTCATGAGGTACAAGTCCTTAAATCACTGGCTGTCTCTGCTGAAGTCACTTTCAATTCGGTAATGACGCTGTCGGACAAAATGCTGTTTTCAAAACAAAAACAGACTTCGATGCAAAATGTGAGCCTGAAGTCTTGTGAGGACAAAATAAAAGTCGTACATGTACGAGAATAAAGTCAGGATTCTACAAATCAGAAATTTACCACTTTAACATGAATAAAGTTGCAATATCGTAATAAACGTGAAAAATTCTGTTTATTAGACATTAAATAGATGACTTTAATTTCGTAGATTTACATATTTGTCGTATGTTCCGCACTCACAGACGTTTCGAGTAACACATCCGACACCTGAAGATCGGCCACTGCTGCTTAAAATGAAAACACTCGCAGAAACACTGTAATGTCTCTGTTTACCTTATGATATTTAAGTGACACTACTGTATGCATTAGACACTGCAAATATTGACTGTATTTCTGTTTGCTCTCTCTCTCTCTCTCTCTCTAACTTAAGTTTGACTTTCAGCCATCGACCTTTCCCACGGCTCATCCCAATGTTTTTCCGTGCATTACCTCCTCCGTGTGCACCAGGCAAACGTTAAACCATGATTATGTTTCCAGGATGTTGGTGCACTTTAGTCTTCAGTTGTATGCAAATGTACCCGGTACTGTTTGTGTGTGTCGTCTCTCCTCGTGTTGTAACGTGTACTCGTAGGCTGTGACTCATGATGTAAACGCCTGAAGGGCCATATGTGCACTACTACTGACCTCACAGCATTGAAACCAAATTTTTCTCTCTCTCATCTCTGGTGATGAACGTAGGAAGTTGAGGATTTTTCAAAATAAAAACTAAAATGTGATCATTATATATATATATTGGCATTCTTTACCCTGGAAACTAAATACTACTGAACCGACTAGTCAACGTGTTAGAGCAGCACTTTGTGATCCATTGCTCACCTGCACTGTATCGTTAGTCTTGGGTTGTTGTGGTGTCACAGAAGACAGACTGCACTTGATGCTGTGTTTTTTTGGCTGTAAAGACAGTGGTTGAATGTCATCCATATTTATACACTAATAATGTATGTTTCCCTACGGTGTATCTGCCTTACGATGTAAAACTAAACAAAAAAAAAAAAAAAAAGTGAAGGTTCTATTACCTGCCTCTAAAAGTGTGTGTTGAATCCAAGGACTGATGTGTTCAACTACTGTGTGATTGGTGTTAACCCCCAGGTCCACGGCGAAGGAAACTACTGCATCCATGTACAAATTCTGTCAGGACTTCAATCATGTACCTTCTAATATAGAGGAATAAATACTGTTGTTTTTCAACACTGTCTGCCGTTTTACTGAAAGAGTAAAATAAATACAGGTTGTTGTTTCTCTTTTTACAAAACAGAAAATCTGTGAATTCTACTCCCTCTTTCTTCTCACTGCTGTGTCTTTAATTTTCCCCTTTGACTCTTCGCTGAAGTCTGATCACTGACCCTGGATCTGCTAGAGATCTACTGTGATTTCCGAGGTGTCTATCCTGTGCAGACGTCCCTACGTATCTGGAGGCAAGAATCACACCTGCCTTCAGGATGCTTTTTTCGAACACGTCGAGCTAATGAGCCAAGCCCGTGGAGCTGTGACCAGATGCTTAGGTGAAAACCAGATAAGCACAAAGTACAAATGTTTACGAGAGCCAATGAGAAGCCGTGCCCACGATAATCTCTTTATCAGTGCCAGCTACTGGCACTCCGAGCTGGACCTTGGACTGAAACGCACTTTCCAGGCCTAGATAACGCCACCACCACCACACCTGCAGCCAGATATGACCGTGGTTCAGAGGTTTTCAAGCAACTGGGGAAGAGAACTCAGGAAGGTGTGACGAACGGTGAGACGAACGGTGAATTGTAGACAGCGAGGACTGAAGGGCCACGTGTGAAACCGTGTGATCCACAAACAACAACAACAACAAAAATATGTAACGGTGATAATATGATTTAAAATGACCTCAACCTTTATTGCTCTACTCTTAAAGTATCATCTCAGTGTAGATTAGTACAAAACTGTGCATTTACAGACAGATGAACACGTCGTGTAAGAGTATGAAGAGCCTCCTGTTTATAAAAACAGAGTGCAGAAACGCTGGTATTGGATGATGTCGATAATCCATAGACAACGAGTTGAATAAACCTATAAACTTTATACATTTGATATTCTATAAAAAAATTAAAAAACAAATCAACAAGTATTCTAACGACATATGCACGAGATGATGAATAAAACTCACTGAGATCAGTAGATTTCAAGTCAATGACCATCTCCAGAAAAATGAGAGTCGATGAGAATAAACGCCAAACATGATGTGGACGCTAACAAAGAAGCTAACAATTCCAGCACAAATGTATAAACATTTGATTAGCAACAGCACAGACAACAATATTCAAAGAAAAAAGACAAAATCCATAAATACTCAATTTGTGAAGTCAAACAACAACATACAATTAACTGTGGTTTTTAATAAAAGATTAAACCTATGCTGGTCTTGACTGACCCCTTGTGGTTACTATGAGGAGCCTAAAGTGCTGTACTACATGTGTTAGGTCACAGGCTGGCACAAGCCAAAGATTTCAACTCATCACATCACTAACGAGTCCAACCAAATTATTTCATCTCTTCAGTTCAAATTTATTCTGAGTTCCTGCTGTGGCAAAATATAATGTTTTGTGTCAGAAAAACAAATCACCGCCAGTTCTTTTTACTCTAGGTGTGTTTTAAACACGTCCTGTGCAGGTGACAATTTTCCTGTTGTAAATAGTATTTATAATATAATATAATAGTATTTCTTGTTGTAAAATTAGTATTAACATAGTGTTTAATATGAATTTTAAAATAAAAAAAATGAAGGTTTTTATCTTAACAGCTCAGTCTGTATATAGACGTCCTGATTAGTATGTAGTTCACTCTCCGAACAGTAGAGTTTCTAAATCAACACTGATCAGCTTTAACCTGGGTCTCAATTTCAGCCCAACTGTTACAGAATGAAATGCTGGAATCACGTGCATTTAAGGCAAATTTGTAGGTAAGTATTGAGTGATCCTGAGTGTCTACAGCTGCTCTACACCTCACATTATATATCCATCATTATATGTCCATCATTATATATCCATCATTATATATCCATCATTATATATCCATCATCATATATTCATCCTCAATTTGATATTTGGCTCAAATAACAGGAGCTCAGATGCATGTAGTCCTGCATACAGAAAATTCTACATTGTTGGGTGGAACTGACTCAGTGAGTTTCATACTTTGAACAGATGTCTGTGCGTTGATGAGGAGGAGGATGAAGATGATGATGATGAATCCACGTCAGTTCTTCTTCCTCCTTTCCAAACTGTGCAGCCCTTTTTTTTCCTATGTCTCTTCCTCAAGCAGTGCCTGTAGAAAAGATAACAAAATGTCCAAATGATTACAAATAAATAAAATTACATTTACCTCTCTTCCTCAAGCAGTGCCTGTAGAAAGGTAACAAAATGTCTGAATGATTACAAATAAATATAAACTTTTTTGTCAGGGTCTACTAACTAACTGAAGTAAATTCACAGAAGAATGCCTAGCCAAATCCTGATCTGTCAACATTCTGCACAGAGTAAAAAAAAAAAAAGCACTTTTTCCTCTATGTTGACATCCGCCTACAGGTCGTTTTATTATTTTTTTTTTTACATTTCTGACTTAACAGAATTGCTCAACAGGATATGACAAATCAATAGAAAGTCCAGCTTGTGAAAGTTAAACACTGACACACATCTTTTTGTGGTCGAACAAACAAGGTGTTGTCCCTGTGTGCAGCAGGAACCGCATCATTTAGGTTAATCTTCTACGTGTCATTTAAACAGTCAGTTTGTCAGACCTAGTATTATTTATTAAATATATCTATAGCCTGAGATTTTGAGGAATTGAAAAACAGAAATATTTCAAAAAAACATTCATTCCTGTGCACAATTATACAAAAGTAGTAAACACTTTTGTCTAACTATACTTCTCATTCTTTCATAAATATGGAAAAAAAAAAAAAATCACTCGCCTTCATCTCCATCTGTCAGCACCAGTGCCTGCAGGATATCAGAGAGGGAGACGATTCCCTTCACCACGTCCTGCTCATCCACCACCACCAGCCTGTGAACCTGAACATGGTCCACAATTGCTTTTCTCAGAATAGGCACAACAAATGACACCAGCACACACACACAGTGTCAAAGATGTGTGTCGGTGGGTGGGTGGGTGCAGTTCCCTCTAACACTCACCTCGGCCTCCACCAGTCTGTTGATGATGGCCTCCAGGGTTTCGTTTCTGTGGCAGGTGAGAACTCCTTCAAAGTACTGGGAGCGGTGCTGTAACGCCTTGGTCACGGTGATGTCCAGGTTGTTGTAGGTCTTCTCTGCTGCCAGGTTCTGTTTGATCAAAGTAAACAAAACTGTTAGATCAGGTCTCAGAGTACAGACAAAACACCTCATATCACTTAATTAAACATATATCATTGAATTAAAACTGTTGTACGACGACACGCTGATCAACTAAACTGCAATACTGGGTGATATCAAATCTAATTTAAATGAAAACAACTCAAACAAAAACAGACGATCCAGCAGGGAGCAGACAGTGAACCACTTACTATCACATCAAATTTGGAGTAAATATCCACCACTCGTCCTGCAAGAGACACAGACAGAGTCTGACTACAGTAGGATTTCAATGAGATTTTTCCCAATGCAATCCAGTCAAAAAACAACAACAGCGCGTCACTTGAAACTGTCCACACACCTTTGTCGTCCACGACAGGAAGCGCCGACACTCGCTGCTCAACGAAAATACCCAGCGCTGTGTAGAGCGGCGTGTCTGAGCGGACGACTGCTATGTTCTTAAAGGTTCCTATGTTCAGCTCCTCCAACGTTTGTCTCAGGAAAGAAGGTTTTGGCATCTCTGAGATCTACAAACACAAAGAAGACAGCGGCGTCTTATCACTCAGACTGAATCTCCAAATGAACTCCACTCAGGAATGTCACGTGGCGGTGACGGGGACAGACACCAGAGAGTCTTACAAAAAGCTTCAGGAACTTGAGAATCCTCTTGTGTGTCAGGATGTAGAGTGTGTTTCCCGTCAGCGGGTCGATTACAGGCAATCTGTGGATCTTGTTCCTCAGCAGAGACGACACTGCGTCGTACAAACTGCGAGACAGACGAAACCACACAACTACTGTCAAAGGGTTTATTACAATGTACAAATGACAGATGAAAGAAAATGGGCGGATAATTTATGACAAAGAACAATGTTCACTTTTGAACAACAGCATAACATTAAGACTTAAAGATAGGGTGAAGCAAAACAATTCAGTCAACAGACCAGTTCTTGGCACAAAACTCTACTGCACTGAACTACTTTACCAATGCCAGCTACTACAATAACTACAGTAACTACAATAACTACAATAACTCTGCTTTAATTCACAGGATTCAAACTTCAACAGAGTCGAGGGACATTTAACATCAACAGTATCAACACACTGAGGCATGGAGGAATGCACTGGTGCTAGTCCAGTGTGCTCACCTTGCACTGGGGGATATGCTCACCAAGGGTTTGAAGGAGTCTTGGAGATAAACCTCTGTTAAAACACAAATGAAAATACAGGTTGTTTTTTTTTTTTGACTATCAATGTAATGATAAAGATATATTTAACACTGTACACCACTCACCTCTCCATGTTTCAATTTTGTGTTCTTCCAACTCATATATTTGGACCTGCAAGGAAAAGAGGTTTAACAATAAGGAAACATTTATCAACACGACCTGCAAGGAAAAGAGGTTTAACAATGAGGAAACATTTATCAACACATTCTACACATCAAATTCTAGCTGCATCCCAATTGTTACCATTCATTTTCCTAAAAATTAACAGATATACAGAATAAGCCAAAGAAAGACATTAAAATAAAATTTCATGTAGCAGCGCACTCAACATGATGATTCGATCTGTGATATAGCACCTCCTATAGAGGATTTGTAAACATTACATGAGTAATTTTATACTTATAAATCCCAGGGAGTTTACAGAGGCAGGAGCTTTTATAAATGCAAAGTTGACAAGTAAGATCCCTGATGTCAAGGTTAGAGGTCACATGACCTAGATTTTCAGACAAACACTGGGTGTTTTTGTATTCTAAGAAATGTGTTTTACCCACACTGCTGTTTTTTTTTTTTGTTTTGTTTTTTTTAAGAACTGTAAGATCTTACCAGTGGAGATTTGTAATAGCGATGGAGAATGTTGATGAAGTCTGTGATGGTTAGCATGCCTGTAAAGCAAACACAGACACATTTACTCAATTAATCTTTTTTTTTTAATATATTTTGAGACTAAAATGCGTAGAAAAGACTCTCACCAACAAAGCACTGCTTCTTACTGTCCCACAGAGGCGCTGCCCTCACCCCATTAGAAACAAGTGCAAAGAATGCCTTTTTCACCTGTGACAGAAAACTCTCATTACTACAGTGAGTCATTACCTAATAACACTATATTGTTAACACCATATTGTTTAATATACCTGAAGTGATGTATCAAACACAACCAATTTGGAGCTGGTAGGAACCAGGTCATAACACTTGTGGGACTTCATGAACCTGGTGTAGACATTGTGCTCTGGGTCTGAAGGAATACAAGGATTCAAGACTTAACCACAAAGTACTACACAGAATTCAACTCATTTAGTTAATGGTAGAATATATATATATATATATACAGTGTATATATATATATATATATACACATATATATATATATATATACACTGTATATATATATATATGTATATGTGTGTGTATATGTGTATATATATATATACACATATACATACATATATATACATACATATGTACACATACATTTACATACATATACATACGTATACATATATACATACTGTACATATATACACCTTCAAGTTCATTGCCTATTTATCGAAACCCAAAACCCTACAGTCTGTACACCAAAAGAGCAAAAATGATGAAACAATGGGCTTTAATAAAACATTAATGTAACAGAAAACAGAGGATATTGTTCAAATAGTGGAATATTTCACAAGAGAACCAGTGAATTGAGCTGCAGGTCATTAGGTCTCTGTACAAACCACAAGAGGAGGAGGGAGAACAGACTGTTGTGAGGAGTCTCAAATGACTCTCAGTTATACCTGCAGCCCCATCACTGTGAGACAAGTTCCTGTGGTCTGGAGGGGGTCGCATTAATAAAACACAATTGTTAGTTACATGACTTGCCTTCGATAACTGGGTCCTTTTTGACCTCAAAATCTTCCACAGATAGTGGTATCTGAAGGGAAAAAAAAAATTTCAACTCAAGGAGGAAAAACTTTTTTAAAGAAATAAAACCAGATTAATGTTTTCAAATGGAATTATTTATGTCATTTCATTTATTGTTTTTTGTATGGTCTCAAAAGATAGTCTAAGAATACCCTTTCAAATGGCACTGAAGTATTTAAACATTATACTTTTACATAGAGTTATTTTCGGTTGGTGATAAAGGTCATCAGGGTCATTTCTATTTTATTTTAGTTAGTAGTTTCTTCACTTGCTTTTTTTGTTAAATCATTTCCTTTCTATTTCTATAAATAGACAACGTACTTTATCTTTTGCCAATGAGTTTTAGTTATTAGCCAATCATATTTTTAACTGTATATCAAACCGCTTGACTGTGTTTCTAAACATAATTGTACATAATATGTCAACCTTTGGGTTAGTCCATAAGGGCAAAATGTTATTATATGACTTATGAAAGTATTTCATTCCAATTGCTTGTTCTTTTAAAGACAATCATGTGAAAAATTGAGAATAATTGTGAAAAAAGTGTTTCTATTCAGCCCCAAGATTAGATCAGTATGATATTGGACCTCTACATCTGGTTTAATAGATTGCAGTTTTTAACCTATTTGGTCCAAATTTGAGATATTATATTAAACAACATTTAGTGTATTTAACGCTTAATCTCAGTGACTAGATTACGCGTACATACCTTGCCGTTTAAGTCCTCCCCTTAAAACTGTTAAAATGTTAGCTTTAGCTTGGCGTCATTGTTGACATAGTGATTCTGCCGAAGACACTTCGAAGTTTCTGATGCATTAGTTAGTTCGTTTTTGTATAAGCATTTTAAATTAAGCAAATTATATACCGCTGTAGTCTGGTTATTTATAAAGTCAACATTTCCACTTGTCCTCCACACAGTGACCCGAGTTACCTCTCGGAACACTAGCCGTGGAAAAAGGGCTACAGTTAGCCTGTTAGCCGCTGGTGCTACCAAGCCCTAATGCCTTTCATTGGGGAACATAAATTAGAACTCGTCACTATGACATAAGCTAGCACCGCACACTAATGTAAAGTATTACTTACACACTCCATGGTCACCTCGCAATTTCACTTTCTAGTTTCCAGTACCCCGGTTCGCTCACAGCCGGACACAATCAACTGATAGAACTCAGGTTACAGACGTTTACCGTAACACCCGAGGTAATAACGCACTACAAATGCGTAGCACAGTGTACAGTCGTTAGCGTGAGAGCCAAAGTAATAATGTGCTATTGTGCCGTAAAGTTTTTCAGTACAATCCTTATCGTAATCCTTGTAGTGGTAACGCGTTATCAAGTACCACGGATTTTGGAGTACAAGAAAATACTACCGTATTATACATTTATAATAAAATGGATACAACTTTAAATCAACGTAATGGATAACTTTGTAATATTTAGGTGAAAACGGTTAATAATCTGCTAACAGAAATAACATTAAATAAAACTTTACTTCACACCAAGTTATGAATATTTTTAATTAATCTGACACACTTCAGCATGTTCCAGGTAAGAAACCAGTAATACCCATTACTGCAAGGGTTTGACTTATCAATTACAGCAGGGAATTTCTAGAAAATCTTTCTCCTGATGTACAGTACACAAACACTTCTATTTGCCAAAACACCTTGAGTTCCTGCATAGTGAATGACAAGGGTGCACATCTACATATACTCCTCAACACATGGTTCCAATGTGTGTCGTGAGTTCAAATCCTAAAGTTTTCCTCAGGATTAATATAATTATAATTAAATAATAATATTGTTAATCTAGTAGGTGTTAGAGCACCCTCTACAGGGGAGAGAAAGTGTGAATCCAAATTTCTTGCACATTCAAACTGTATCAATGTAAACAAGTTACACTTGTCAATACCAAGCAAATGTATTTCAAAATAAAAGTAATTAAATGGGAACATTTTATAGCACTTTGAAACACACCTGCAGTAGCTTTAAGACCTGAACTAAACTAATCATGTCATCGGCATATGAAACGTGACTGCAGTAAAATATCATGAAAAAAAATCTACTTGTAATGAAATAATTGAGACAAACTCAGTAAAATGATCCATCAAAGGAGAAACTTATTTATATACAAAAGTGTTTACAGCAAGTTCTCTGAATTAACACTGACCCACAGGAGAATACTGGCGTTCAGTACAGACCACCACCTGCACCCGTGGTATCACGTCAACAGAAGGGGAAGAAAAAAAAAAAAAAAACTTTTAAACTTTAAGCACCTTGAGTTGTGAAGGGATAGCAGGAAGGGAAATTCAAGGAACCAGAAGGCATACGACACAGCATCACCAACCTCTTTAAACCAACCAATCATTGATCTGTTAACTACTTACTCAGCAAAGCACTTAATAAAATTACACATTTACCCACTATAGGTACAATACGATGATTGTGGGAAAAGTACACAGTGTTGTGGATCTGTTAGGCTATAACAGGCAAGAAAAACAAAAGTGTTGGACATATTTCAAGCATGTTCACGAGAAAAACTGAAGTGGGACGCCTGTCATCCCGACTAAGTTTTTATGAAGTGAGCCTGATCCGTCAAAATCAAATCATTATTCAAAAAAAAAAAAAAAAAAAAAGAAATGCAGCAAAATTTCACTGATCTTACACAGAGTTAAAATGCAATTTTAAATTGCAACTCAACAAAGTACATGACAGTGTGGTTATGTACACAGTCTACTAATAAATCACTCATTATATATATATCCAATAATATTAAACAATTTTCTAAGATTCTATTTATATGTAATAAAATGTTTAATTGGTAACCACAAAAGATCTCTCTCAAAATATGCTAATTGATATGGGGAGAGTTACACAAAAGTCCTACTTAGTTACAGTTATGGAGATGTTGAAATGTTGAAAAGAAGATGGCTGCCTGCCTGGCAGAAAGGCTTAAAATATCTGTACGTTAAATAGACACATTCTTCCACCAAAACCCAGAGCCCAAGTTTGTCGACAAACTGCACACGAAGATGGGTTTTCTAAAGATCAAAGTGTGAGAAGGCACCGTATGTGATAGTGACATTTAAACACCACATTTGAAGCAATGTGAACCGTGACTCTCCATCACCAGAACTATGAAGATCACAGAACTTTCTGGATACAGGAAGTACTGAGAGTTCTGGATCTAAAGCTGTGTTTCAAACATTAGATTTATAAACGTTTTTTGGATTAAATCCTACAGGAGGATTTAATTCCTTTATATCCAATGACATCATTTTTCCCCCTGATCATTTCATGTTCATTAAAGGTGCTTCCTTGATTTAAACAGGTTATTTTTGCCCTCTGAAATTATCTCTGATTATGGTTGGGATGAGTTCACCAACTCTTGTCAGCTGCTGCAATGCTGTGTAAATCAATGTGGCACCATAATGGATCAGAAAAGTTCCACTGCAGTATCTCTGTTTCTTTGAGGTCACGGTTGGAGAGCTGGTGAGGTTGTGCCTCCTGTCTTCAGCAGAGGAGCTGGAGGACACATGTTTACATTACAGCACACTTCTTCTCCTCTGGGGCCGCGTTTCCGTCAGCTTTCTCGATTTCCAAAATGATCCGCTTAAAAACCTCGACAGCAGTCTGTAGTCAGCAGAAAATGTAAGTTCAAATTGGGCTTCAACATACAATGAGTTACGGAAGTTTTTCTGATCAAACATCATCAGCTGTACCTCATTCTCCTTAGCTGAAGACTCCATGAATGCAGCACCCCAGGAATCTGCAAGTTTCTTTCCCTCCTCCTGTTTGATTACCCTGAGGAAAAAAAAAATACCACATGAAGGAAAAAAGTACAATATCAGCCACTCTCAACTCATGAATTGACAGAATAAATATGACTAAAACTTATAGACTCTGACACCTCAACAAGTAAGACAAAGACACAGGTTCAGTTTACAGAACTTCTACTTTTCTCTTTTTACCTTTCCATGTGAAGATCTTTTTTGTTTCCTACCAGAACAGTTGGGACCCTAAAAAAAAAGGATCCTTATGAGTGAAAGAAAATGATACACCTGAAGTAAAAACTTCACTTTTGGTGAGCTGCACTTACTGGATCTTTCCAACCATGTCAAGCAACTTGTCATGTAGAACCTGCACAACTTCAAAACTAAACAAAAATAAAGATTTAAAAAAAAAAATGATATTGCATAGGCAGTTGACGGAAGACAACTTCAAAACTAAACAAAAATAAAGTTTTTTTTAAAAGTTGATATTGCATAGGCAGTTGACGGAACATAATGTTAAAAACACATACAGATGTAATTAAGTACATTTCAGAATTACAGCATTGGGACATTGACAACATCACATTTTGTAAGTGGTTTGTGTTGTGTTGCACTTGAAATAATATTTTGAGCATGTTTAGCTTTATTTTATTTTTACTGCTGGTCTGTGTTTACAATCAAGCAGGACAACTCTGGCTGCATAAGATGTCTTCATCATTCAGATGAATAAACACCACCAATCTCACACCTTTTCATAGAAGTCACTGAATAGACGAGGACATATCCATGGATGTCCACTGAGTGGGACTGAGGGTAAATTGAGTATTCATCCTGGAGACATAGGAGAGGTATTTCAACACAAAAGACAAGAAATGACATTTATATATATCTCTCTGCATAACTCAGCTAAGATCTGTACACGGACAACTTACTTGCCCAGCTGTATCAACCAGCTGGAGGTTGAAGTCTTGGCCATTCACGCTGACCATTTTGTTAAAGGCTGGAGAGTGTAAAAACAGAGCAATTATTACAAAAAATAAATAATTTTTTTCACATTACTCATATAATTCTTTTTAATTGTTGCAAAAATGATGTATGACACTTACTGTTTTCAATGGTGGGGTCATATGAGTCAACAAACTGTCCTTCCACAAACTGTATTGTAAGGGATGACTTTCCTGTAGTGGGGAATAGGGTTTTGGGTTAAAGTGTCAAAACAACTACTGATGCTTTCAAAATAAATAACAACAAGGCTTTTAATAAGTTTATAGAGACAGTATTACACAACACTTATTATGGTGTAACTTCAATGGCCTCCTACATGTCATATAGTCAATGTTTATATTTTATTAGTTTGTTTTAAAGATTGCATGGGTCTGACTGGGAGAAACCTTGGATCCTTTGATCCTCAGATGTGACTTTCTGTTCCAAAGTTAATGTCTAGTGTAGCGCCCATTTATCTTGAATGATTGTCCGCTTATAGTATCACATTTCTTCTCCGGGTTTACTCGTTACACTTCTAGTTATATTTACTTTTTCTTTTCTTTCGACACCCAATAGTTTAAACTTAATGTATCTATTGTCCAATACTTTTCTGTTTTGTCAAGCAAAACAAAGTGCATTATTATTGGTTAAGTTATAACTATTTAACATTGTTTTAAGAGGCGTCGGACACTTGATAATTTAGCAGGACATATTTGATGAAAATTGTTTTTTCCACTGATCACGTTCTATTTGATAGCTATAATTCTGTGCCAGGATACGGCGATTTTCGTACAGAGTGGCAAACTGCGCGCGTTCAACACGAAAAACAAATTGAAAATAACCCAAAGGTCGAACACGTGCTTGTGGCGAGTAATTGACTTGCGCCAGTTACAAACAAAGTAATGCCACAAAGGTTGGGCTGCTATTTGTGTTGGGGGAGACACAGTGGAAAAAGAAAACAAAGCCAGGACGTGCGTTAGCTCGTTAGCATGCTAGCATACTCACGTCAGCCAAGCACATGCGTTACTCACCTACAGACCTATAGCCAATGACAGCAATCTTTCGATGTTTTGGTTGAGGCATTGTGTTGAAAATACTCTTCAGTAAGTATAGTCGTGATGTAACAAAGCAGCCGTCTTTTTTACTATTTACCAAACTTTTTATCGCTACATTCGCCTTCGTATCACGTGACAACAACAAACTTTTAGAGGTGCCGCTCGAAGCTTGGAGCTGGGCCTCTAGTAGTAACTTCAACCAAAGTTCACAGTTCGGCAAAGTTGATCGAAAGAAACCAAAAAAAATGATCTGCTCTTCGTTTAAAAGTGGTTATTGGTGTCGAGCGATTGGTTTGGATATGTGAAATTCGCCTTCCAAGTGAAACTGCAAACTACACGGTTTTGGCCAGAGCGCTTTAGCCCTCGCTAGTAAAACTGACGGAAACTGTCATTGTGTAAGCGGCACACCGTCGTAAAACAGCCGCTACGTCAACGCGCTCACTGAACAGAATGTACAGCAGAGGTCACTCTTTGTACAGTCACCCTCCATAACTCGTGCGATTCTAAGGTCAACTAATAATAATAATAATAACAATAATAATAATAATAATGTTTTGGTGTTGCTATTATTAATGTTATTGTGATGATAGTATATACATACATTAAAAACAATATGAATATGATCTGAAGCATTTAACATAAATTCAACAAGTATTGTAAAGTACTTTTTTTATTTTGCAGGTAACTACATAACTGGGTTTGTTTTTCTGCAACCATGGGTACAGAATTTGTCAGCATTCCATAATTTCATTTAGGTTTGAAACTATTGAAACTATGTACCTCAATAATGCCACTATTTTCAGAGCTAGTATAGCAAATATTCATTTCAAAAAGTGCTAGAAAATTAGGCCTAAAAAAGTCTTATTTTAATTAAATATATATATATTATATTAATTTTATTTTTACAACTACAGAGGCTGCAGAGGTGTTTTAGTTTTAGCTCCCTGTATGTATGCTGTTACCCACGTGATTTTAGCGGAAGTGAATAAGTCTGGATCTGACTGCTGCCGGTAGCTGCAGGTGTCATAAACAGGCAGATGAAAATACAGAAAGAGCCCTGACAGGGAGGCACAGGTACCGTGACAACGCACCGAAAAATAATCAAATACTTATTCACGGACTTCTACGTGTTTCTGGATTTTCTGTGTAGAGTTTTCACGCCAGCCTAAAGGTTTTGATGAAACGCGGTACAATTTGCTCATGCTAGGCATTAGCGCGGCAGCGGCTGCCATAGCAACGCTATAGGAAACACTTGTTAGCCTTGTTAGCCTCTGCGGCTTTATTATGCTAATAGGAATCAGGAGTTAAGATTTTAATTGCATACTTACTAGTAGCTCTGTTATTGACCACGCGTCATTTCCATTTTTACTTCTTTGTAACTTTACTTGTTAATCCAATGTCAAGAAGCATGTAGTTGCTCAGAGTGCATGTAACACTGTTGTGCTATCGACCAACCCCATCACATGCTGTCAGCTAACGTTAGCAGCCTAGGCCTCCCTGACCGTAACGCCAATGTTCACGTAAATGCCGTTCAATGGACAATGTACCGGTGTCCGATTAATCCCAGATGAGTTCAATACTACATTAGCTCGGTGTTAAACTATTATTCGTGTGTTGTCATTTGGAAATCTATGTGTTATCGAGTTAAATAGTTGACGTGTAGATGTGTTTTTAGTTGAAGTCTGCGCTAATTCAGCTACCTGCTGTTATTAGTTGTGGGTTACAAACTAAAAAATTTTCTTTTAGAAATGATACTGTTGAACACCTCTAACAAGTGCTTGTTTTTTAAATAACATTTACCGTAGGTTTGTACAGTGAGGTTGTGTTATTTAATCATCATCATCTCTGAAAACTGTCATTTCAGTCTTCTGCTTGAACTAGTATGGATGTAGATGAATGTAATGGCCGATCTTACACCTCAGGTACAGTTTGGCTCCATTTGCATCAAAGATACTTGCTTATAAATATTGGCACTTAAAATGACATGCTTTATTTGGACTTTTTGTAGCAAGTGGAGACTCATCAATGGAAAGAGAGTTTTCTGGGGCTCTTGGAGGTCCTATAGTGAGCACCCCCAACAGCAAAGAAACATCCCCCAGTCGCTCCCTGAGTGGTCAGTAACTAACTCTAATATACCCTAAAGAACAACATGTCTGCTATTTTGTTTTCACTGACCTTAGTTTGATGTTGCAATCTTAGCCAACTCTATAAAAGTGGAGTTGTACAGTGATGAAGACCCGGGACGCAGTACTGAAGATGAAAGAGGGGAGCGAGTAGAAGGAGGAGGAGGTTCAGAACACGGATCTGAGGCTGTTGGAGGCTACAGGGAGCTCGCCAACCCCGACACCATGCCGAGCGGCGCCACCAGGCTGCCCAATGGTAAACTCAAGTGTGACATCTGTGGAATGATCTGCATTGGGCCTAATGTTCTCATGGTGCACAAGCGCAGCCATACAGGTCGGTGAATATTTGTCTATTGATTATATTGTCCTCTCTCTCAATCTGTGAATCCCTTCTCACATTTAGTATTATGATCACAACTCTACAGACACGTCTATCATGAGTCTACGTATATATAAAAGAACAGGAATCCAACTAACCAACAGTTAGCCCTTAACCCCACAGACATGACAATATATCAAGGGTCAAGACTCCTGATTAACTAACAGTACAAAAAAATACTAAAATGACAAATTTGTCACCTGTTCCTAGGTGAGCGACCGTTCCAGTGCAATCAGTGCGGTGCCTCCTTCACTCAGAAGGGTAATTTGCTTCGACACATCAAGCTGCACTCGGGGGAGAAGCCCTTCAAATGTCCCTTCTGCAGCTACGCCTGTCGGAGAAGAGATGCACTGACTGGACACCTCCGCACTCATGCAGGTAGATACTCCATCACTGACATTTACATTTTTAAAAAACCCGTACATCTGACGTTAATATTGCTGTTACTTTGTTGCCAGTGTCCTCTCCTACGGTAGGGAAACCATACAAGTGCAGTTATTGTGGCCGTAGTTACAAACAGCAGAGCACCTTGGAGGAACACCGCGAGCGTTGCCACAGCTACGAACAGAGTCTGGAACCTCAGCAGGCTGGAAACGCACAGAATTCAGGTCAGTGTTGTGTCACATGCCAAAAACAAAATGACATTTCCGTCATGAAACAGGAAATAAAAATCAAACACCTACCTACATCAATAACAGAGTTTCTTTTTAAACATTTGTAAACTTAACAAAAATGTTTGTGCTCCGTGCAGGAGAGGAGATGAGGGAGCTGGAGTTTATAACAGATGCTGTACTGCTTCCTTCTACGGACAAGATGACTTTTATAGATCGACTGGCAAACAGCATCACCAAACGCAAGAGATCCACACCACAAAAATTTGTAGGTAAGCATTTGACCTCGGAATGGATGAGCCTGGGAAGAGTAGGACTGTCATAAATAAAAATATTTCAATAACGTGAATGATGAGTTCACGTCTGTATACAGTATAACCTGATTTGAATGGATGGCCTTTCATGTGTGTTGTTCTCTGACTGTTTTCATTATTTCAATTCAGAATAAGGTCAATTGGACATTCTAAACTGACCGTTTCAAGTGCGGGTTACGCTCATTGTAACAAGCTGGGTTTTTTTTTTCATTTCAGGACAAAAGCACATGCGCCTCAATCTTGCAGATGCACCTTATGAGCACAGTGCTAGTTTGGATAAAGATGGGGAGATGCTTACAGGAGACCTTGAAGCACAGCACTTTACTGGATTAGGAGGAGAATACACAGGTATAGCAGGGAACGGAGGAGGGGTCACAACAGATATAATCAAGCCTCATCATCTACCCAACGCTCACTCTTCGTGTTTGCCAGACCTCAGGCAGGTGCACAGCTCCTCCCACACCCCCGTTGCTTTAGGGCCAAGGCTGGACTGTACTGGAACGGGGACCGGACTGGGAGCAGCAGGTGTAGGAGGAAGGGAGGCGGCAGAGGGACACGAAGACCTGCCCACCGGCCGAAGTCACGCGCCGTCACCCATCAACGGCTGCCAGGACTCTACAGACACAGAGAGCATGCCCGATGAGCCCTGCAACAGTACTGCTCTGACCCCAGCCCTGCACAGTAACAATGGTCACCACCTCCTCTACTCAAACAACCACAACCCAGTGCCTCCTCCAAATGCACACCACAGGTACCGGGACAGACACAGTCCCAGTCACGCCAAAGAAAGGGAGCTGGAAAGAGAGGACGGCGGTCACTCAGCCCAACCGCCTCCTTCCCTCGCTCCAACCCCCAGCTCGCCCACAGCACCTTCATCCACTTCCAGAGAAGCTTTCCGGGTCGTAGATGGGGAAGGACGACCCGTGCGCTCTTTTCGTTGTGAACACTGCCGCGTCATTTTCCTGGATCATGTTATGTTTACCATCCACATGGGCTGCCACGGTTTCCGCCAGCCATTTGAGTGTAACATCTGTGGCCACCGCAGCCAGGATCGCTACGAATTCTCCTCTCACATCGTCCGTGGAGAGCACGTCTTTGACTGAGGATGAAGAGGTGAACAGCGTAGGTCTGTTTGTACACCAAGACAGGAGCCAGAGACCTGGCAGGGTTTGGTCTGCACACAAAATCGAAGGGCACTGATGACCTGAGGGGGGCGCTAGTAGAGTTTAGTCTCTACCAGCACTAAGATAAACTTTCTTACAATCGCTTCGATGCACTCCAGTCCAATTATACTCAAAATGCACTTTGAATTATAGGTATTCTGAAACCACTTAACTCGCTGATGCACTTTTTCGTCCAGACGTGCCTTCCTCCGAACCTGAAACCTGCTAAAGAAATTATCGAGGACAGATTTGAACTTTGTCCGTAAAAATAAAACGACGCCTTGAGCACTTTAACAGAAATATTATTCAAATGAAATTCATCGGTCGTCTCATCTTCAACGTAATACTTTGTTTTAACTAAAGATAACTTAAACTTAAATTAGTTTACTAACATTAAGACATTCATCTTTTAATTGGAGTTAATCGTAAAAAACGAGCCTTAAAGAGTTAAAGGTTGTTTTTAATTTTTAAAATAAAAAAGATAAAGTGCAGACCAAACTCAAACACCAGGTCCAAGTTGAATAGATGAGTTGAATGAGTTGCTCATGACCCTGAAATGCACTTTGAGTTCCAGTGGCGGTGTGGTGGAGCGATCTGAGTGTGTGTGAGAGAGTGTGTGTGTGTGTGTGAGAGAGTGTGAGAGTGTGTGTGTTTTGCTATGAAAGAAAAGCGAATGAATAACTGGAAAATGAAGTTTTCTTTGTGTGTGATTGTCGGCTTTGTACAAAATGTTTTTTCCTATTCTATGACTGCTTTTGTTGCACTGATATTTGTCAGAATCCTATGAATATATTAAAACTATTTTGTAGAATATGTTAATGACCTGCACATTTCTCCAAAAAAAAAAAACAAAAAGGGGGAAAACAGATGAAAAGTTCACTGCCAAAACTTTAAAACCGAGTCAAGAGATTATTAGGGTTTTTATCAGTCCTCCACGTTTCATCTCAAACTGTTCCAGGCTCAAATTCATGCTCTCCATCTGAACTGAACGGTGTCTTTACTCTCTCTCTCTCTGTATCGTGCCTTTCCTCACCCCCATCACACTATAATTAAGGTACAATCTCCAAATTGTTTGTTGTGGGTGAGGTTAGCGTATCGTTGTGTGTGTGTGTGTGTTTTTAACAGTTTAAGAACAAAAGTTGTTTTTCTAAATGCTGTCAGGTTACTGGCTTATGGCTTTGCAGTTTGCACAAGTAGTTCTACTGTTATAATATTTGACCTCCTCATTGACGTTGGTGAGAAACCAATTCTGCTCATGAATTAGAGAGTAAGTGTACATTGCATTTAGCATTTGCTGCTATAATATGAATGCATGTGATGATGTAGCAGCAAATGGCACTCCCCGACCCCCCACGCCCCCATAAAAAAACATGGCCCATTAGCTTTGTTTGTTAACCCCCATAAAAAATGGCCCATTAGCTTTGTTTGTTGACACTTCTTGGCTGAGGAGTTAGCGGTTAGCTTGTCACTTTGGGGGCGTAAAAAAAATCCAGTGAAGTCGGTACTTTTTAACTAAAAACAAAAATTAAAGATTAATATGTTGAATTTGGAGATGAATTTTTAACTAAAAACAAAAATTAAAGATTATTATGTTGAATTTGAATGTTAACTAAAAACAAAAATTAAAGATTAAAGATTATTATGTTGAATTTGGAGATGAATGAACTTTAATTTGTCAGGAAAATGGGGAAAATCACTGCTTTTATTGTTTGACAAACTAGTTTAGAAATCGATGTCTGCAACAGATGGTGAAAATGGTTAAAAAATGGAGAGGTAATGGTTGTGGTTTTTACTTGAGCTTCACAACCGTCAACCGATGAACCAGACATTTCCAGTCAAAGACAGATCTGGAGTGCAGGCAGGTCGGTCGAGCACCGACACGTTTGTAAATAAAGGGAATTCCTTATGCGGTTTATCCTGGAGTTTCTTAATTGAAACATCTTTTTCTCCATAATCCCAAACTGTAATCCTCTGCATCAGTGCTGACGACCTGTACTACTTCTCTGTTGTCGGTACCGATGCCTTATTGCCCAAGGGCTCATTACTTATGGTTTCACAAACCTTCCTCAAGACATTATGAAACTTTTCACAATTTCTTCCCCGTACTGTAGATGGCGACAGATCTCCTGCACTAACAAACGTCACCTGAAAGACTCGTTCTCTTCTTGACTAGTCTGTGCGTGTGAAGACCAAACCTGTAGAGCGGTACCTCCCAAACGTTTTCTGCGTAGTAATATTGTCGATCCTGCTCCACATGAACACAATCACAGTTGTTGGTTCAAAACTCCTCTGAATAGTGCAGTGATGTTTCCCCACTTTGGTGCAAATAAAGAAAAGATTCATATTTTGAAATAAATTGCTGTCCTGCGTCCCACTCGTGATATCTTCACGCCCAATGTGGGGGGCCGCTACCCCTGCTTTGGGAACCACTCTGCTTCATACCCAACAACAACCTGTTACCTTTAAATCTGAAATGACTTGTTTGAGCCTTTGAGCCTTACTTTACCTGCATCAGTGTCTGTGTTTTAACAAAAGAATCAAAGGTGAAACCATTGACGACACTTTTCTTGTTTTGTTTTTTTTTTTGCTTGTTACAAATTTTTGTTACAAGTAAAAAGGCATATCGCCGGTGTCTATGATCAGGTCCCTGTGAAATCAAGTTGAAAAAATTGACCGCTCAATGTTTACTGTCCTCCTGCTGCTCTGGCTGTTTACACGTTTAAACAACATACGTATGCAGGTTGTTTCACCTGCTCCCATCGATAGTCTTTAAAAAGCGTTACTTTGCAGCAGATTTGCTGAGTTTATATTGCAGAATCACAAGAATACCTAAAAGCACTAATGTTCCAAAAAAGGTTTTTAAAACATGACAATCGTCAAATTAATATTACTGTTGATCCATTAATGGTAAATGCAGAAAATTGTTTTCCTAAAATAAAAAAAATTTGCATTGACCAACAGAAAATTTGAACATTTCTGGTAAAAATAAAACTTGCTTTCCAGAAGTTTCAGTTTTTGACTAGTTGTCCTTTAAACCTGTGAAGGCTCTGAACTGTTTGTTCCTCATGGACTGATGTGTGTGTTTGTTATGTGAAAGCTTTAAAGTGGGGATTTCACAGTTGATTTGTGTGGAATCAAATGTTTCCCTACCTGTGAAGCACTTTATGGAGTACAGAAAAACTTTTAACATGTCTGTTTCTAAATATATTTAAAATGTTCCATCTATTTCCCAAATTTCTGACCAAAATATTAAACATTCTGATATATCACGTTCTGCCTTGTAACCAACTGATGTTCACGACAGAACATACAGGCTAAATGAATTCAACAGTTTGATCTTCCCCTAAAATGTCTTACTGAGTTTCAAGCGTAGGGTTTAAATATATCTTGATTTTAAAAACAAATGTATTTGGAAAAGTTTCCTTCTCCCTCCTACTGTAAATCACGTGGTGTAACGTCGTCTGTTGTGCCTTTACCCTTTGGTCCTGCAGTCTGTCTGATCAAGCTCACTTTTGTCTTAAGCTCACAATGTTGACATGTGGTTCTTGTGGTACTTTCAAAACGCCCCACACTTTCTAGAAGTCGATAAAAAAATTAAAATATATTTATGAAAATAAAAGTTGTTTTTTTTCTACATGTTTTGATTTAGTTCTATAAAAGTTGTTTTTTTTCTACATGTTTTCATTTAGTTGTTTTTTTTTTCATGTGTTTCTAGAGCATATTTTTTCTGAAATATAGTTCCTTTCAAATATATGGAGCTTGATGAAAATCTATTTAAAAAGTATCATTAATTTTTATCAAGTGTCCATTCACATTTTGTCAGAAACTGATTTCCCTAGGGATTAATAAAGTTCTATCTAAATTAAAATTTTGAATTGTTCATTTTTAACTGTTAAAAATCCCTGATCAAATTAAACCTAAAAGTTCACAGACATGTTGGAACCTGTTGAAGTACAGGCTTTACTTAATTAATCAGACAACTTTGTAACTTCTGGACTCGCCTTATTTCAACATCACAACTCATTTCTTCAGAGTCAAGATGAGGAGAAGCCGATGTCATTTTCTCCTGTAAACTAGTTTGACGTCCTGCTCTGCTAATCTTCTATGGATGTGTTTTCATGTCATTTTCTCCTGTAAACTAGTTTGATATCCTGCTCTGCTAATCTTCTGTGGATGTGTTTATAAAATACATTAAAACCTGTTTATTTTCTCCCGGGTTCCCTTTTAATTGTGACTTAAATCCTTGTGTTGAATTTCTGTGTGCTACACTGGGCAGTAGTTTGCTTCTTAACCTGATGCATGTGGTACCGATGCTCTTTGCTCCTCACGAGGCCACAGTTCTCTCTCTGCTTTTTGAAAGACAACAAAATAAACTGCTTCAATTTAAGGCTTAAGAAAAAACAAAATAACTCCAGTGCTGTGGTATTGTTCTAATGCTTTTTTTTCTTCTTCTAATTTTCTCTCAAGTTTTTAAATGTACAACCTTCTCTTCCTGTAAATGGTCTATTGCTTTAAATAACTGCAGAGCCTTTTCTGATGTACCATATGTAATAATGCATTTGATCTGAACTACTGTTAAGTTTTGTACTGTAAGTCTATTTCAAATAAAAAAAATAAAAAAACTCACAGGCCTCATTACTGTCTGTACACAAAACAGTCACTTCAGAAATGATGAGCTCCACACTTTCAAGTTTTTGTAAAGAGATTCAACTTTATTTTTCAAGTGGACAGCATCTTCAAAATCATCTTTACATGGGCTTTTGAGGAGCTCTTGGTGCACCAGCCTGTAGATACAAAAAAAAAGTGAGATTTTGTTTGCTATCAGAGGACTGTGTTGATTTACATCTATTATAGTGGTATAGGTCTCATCATTGACAGCGCTGTTCTGTGTAGGATGGTTTACTCACAGCGGGCCTGAATCTGGGTGGTGGGGCACGGTCCTTCCTGGCCTCACAGGAGCGGTTCCTCACCACCTTACTGTGGATGGCGCAGCTGACACAGTAGTGCAGCTTCACGTAGAGCTTGGGCAGAACGTAGGCTGCAGAGTGAAGAGACCAGAGGTGAGGCCGTGCAGCTGGAACAGGAAGTTGTACACGTGTAGGTGGAAGACAAAAATAAATATTGACTCACAGTCAAAGACACTGGCCTCTGAGATGTCCCTCACGGCTGCTGCCTCCACAATGTTCCTGATGACAAACTTCTTGATGGCTTTGTCCTTGGGGACACAGCGGGCACAGTTGGTGCAGCGGATGGGCTGCACATGCCCACGGCCCTTCTTAGCACGACCGTTATTCCTCCTTTTCTTAGTCTGTATAAACAAAAAAGGACAGTTTAGTACAAACAAGTCTAATCATTCTTTATTATTTACGTACTGCTTTGCAATTCTTACAATAACTGGTAAGAAAATGACATACTTTCATCAGACTCAATCCCGACTCTAAAAATGAGCAATTTCCTTAACTTTTTTTCCGGGATCATATCTTAGATTTGAAGATTTTATATTTACCTGTTTTAGCAGAGCAGATGCTTTAGACATACGCATGTCAGTTTACCTTAGTAACAGACACTGTAGCCGAGGTCTCTACGACGATGTCTGTTACTAAATTAAATATCAATCCCCAACTGTCTCTACAGATAAAACGCGACACAAACAGGGGTCTGGAAATGTTTCGTTTAGCAGCAGTTCCAGGTACGTATATGAACGTCTGTTACCCCGGCTGAATAATTAGCTCTATATTGTTTTGATCATTATATGTGAAAACTATTATTCACACATTGTAGATCTGAGAACCTGCTGTATTTCAAATAAGATTATACTAAGGGCCTCTGACAAAGCGTCTATAACATGTTTGCTTCCTAGTATTAATACTCCGCCGAGATGTGACTGAGCAAACGCTACATACGCAACTAACGTGTATTCCACAGTTTACCTACATTATTAAAACGTCAAAAAACGCATAGTTTAAAAACAAACAGTGCAAGTAGTGTATTCAAAACAATATTTCACACATCGTCTGGCCGCACTACCAACGACATTATCTCCGCTTCTTCACAGGAACACATGCACGAAATGGCTAGCCTGCTAACCGCTAGCATTAGGCCGAGGATCATATTTATTCACTTCAGACCAAAATCTTACGGTCGATTGTGTAAGATGTGTACTCGTTGTGTGTATATAAAATATTAGGCACAGTAAATGTGTTACTATATTCGTGTGAAACATCATTTTGTATCGTTTTTGCTACACGGCCACATTGAAACACACTTACCATGTTGAACGGGAAGCTGGAAAGAGGACCGGAAGAGGTGGTGCTACGACAAGAAGTGCGAAGCGCTCCGCCCTCCAAATGTTAAAATACATCTTAAACTAAAAAAAGCCTTTTGAATTAATTAAGCTAAATGTACCGATTTATTTTTTATATGTATCCTATACATTTTTTTATTATGATACGATAAAACATTTAAACAAAAATAATTTCTATGATTCATTCGCGCAGTGATATCAATAGAAGTTGTAATGTAGTCCAGGGTATTTCGAGCGGGCGGAGTGACCTGGTTCTGTCGTAATCTCTTGTGTGTGAGTGTGCGGTTTGGCAACGCTTTGTGTTGAAACAAGCTCAAACATATTTGACTAGGTTCTGATGATACAGTAGAATACTCACATATTACTATAGAGTTCTATCCACTCTTCAGTCTGATTTTTACTCTGAAATCCGTTACATATATTGTTTTTGCATTTGGATTAAAACTTGTTTCTAAGTAATAAGAAAAACAATTCTTTGACACGGACTAAAATATTGTTAAAAGGTTGGCTTGCCCTGGTTTATCATACCTACAGTAAACTTACTGTACCCTCCCATCTGAAATAGCTCAACACCGAAAATCACACTTAACTCTTACAGGGAATGTAATCAGACTGGCTGACTTATTTGCTTTCTAATTGCAGCGCTATTTTTGTGTCTTAATTTCTTAGAATTCGTCATACCTTTATGTACATAAAAGTACATAAACAACACAATAACCTCTTTCATTTTGCTTCAAACTCTTTTTAAAATATTTTTTATTTCATATCCATGAACAAAATCCTTGCAATAAATGACCACAAAACCAACTAATACAATTTAAAAAGTTTATTTAAATAGCTTTGTGTTGTTCCTATTTCTTTTTGTTCTTCTTGTCCTTTGCTTTCTTCTTGCTTGGCTTGTCAGCGTTGGCCTTTTTGTAGAGGTACAGTCCCACCATGCCGAGCAGAGTGGGCACCAGGGCTAAACAGACGAGTGGGAACACATCGTTGACCATTTTCTGCCACGGCGTCTGTTGCGTCAGGGAAATCACCTCCACCTCGAACTGAAGGGGAGCGTCACCTGAAAGAGTGCAAATTTAATTTTACTACTTTGTGAAGACACAGAGATGAGCAAAAATGACAACAAAAATAACGAGTGTGTGAGAATGAGTATAAATATGAGTGTGTTCTGTACCTGGAATTGTGGGAGGATAACCTTTTTTCCCATAAGCAAGGTGAGAGGGGATAGTGGCTTTAATTTTCTGCCTGAAAGACAAAAAAGATGAAATACAAAAATTAAGTTTTTTACTCTTGACCTTTTCGTTTCCCTATCTTCAGTTTTATTTTTTACTCACCCTTCACAGACGCCAATCAAACTCTGTTCCAGACCTAATTTAAAAAAGAAAAAATAATCACAGTAAAAAAATAAATAAAAAAACTATGCTCTTTAAATACTGGATTTTTCCGCCAGAGACTGAGCTACACAATTATCCTGGAATTTACCAGCTATGACTGTTCTTTTCCCCAGATCCACGACAAGAGGTTCTCGAGACAATGATGAGTCGATAATTTTACCATCCATTAGTTTACCCTGAATAAAAGAAAAAGATAAAGTATAAGGATTGACGAGCACCCAAATTAAATAACCCACCCGTTGTAAGGCAGGAGCACTAACCAATCTTTCAACTTCTACTTAACGTCAAATGCAAAAAGAAAAA